TATCCCCCCCCCCCCCCCTTCCCCCAACCTTTTCCTTTGTTGTGTTGGCTGGCAATGCAATAAAGTACAGGAAACTCGTAGGTTTCTGTCTCAATCCATTGAGTGGAATAAAATCAGTTGTTTCAATTCCAAGGTAAATGTGTAAAAGTCCGTTTGATGGAATAGATCAAATAGAAGTTTCACAATTGGGGATACCTCAAATCTATAGCAATATCAACACCTAAATGCATATGCCATCTGACATCTAAAAATCCAAGTCCTGAGAATCTCAACTTCAACCACCTCCTTCAGCCTCACTTATATATCCCTCAAAATGATATTAGTCCCCTAACCACTCCCTTTACACTTCCAACCATCCACGAAGAAATGAAACAGAACGAGCCCAGATGCTTAGATGTGCAGAATGAATTATTTTGTTCAAGCTATTGAACAGAAACCAACTTGTCCATGTAACCATTGACTTCTCTCTGGACAGAGCTGATATTCTAATACAAATTTCTGAGAAGTGGGATCTCATTAACTCCATCATCTTTCTCAATTCTATTCGATACCTAAACTTCTGAAAATCAGACGCTGGCATAGTAGTGTCAGCAGTTAAGAGATGCTGCTGCCCACCCACCACAAAACAAAAAAAAATAGTTCTATCATTACTCAATCAATCAACTAAAACCTCAATTCCTAAGTTTCCACACTTTGAGGATATTTCAACAAACTTATGATTTGATAGTACGTAATACTCAGAAATTAAGGAACCAAGAAATTTTCTTAGAGCAGGAAACTTTATCATCAATCAATCAACTACGCCTAAATCCAAAACTAGTTGGGATCACTGGAAGGTATGAATCCTCAATAATCAATCTGCTTTTTTGGGTCAATTCCATTTTCAATTCTAAAGAATGATTTTTCATTTTCAGACAAAATTAGGGATTTTCTTAAGTTTCCAAGAAAATGGGAATCAAACAAAATTCAAGAAAGACTGAATCTTTTCAACCAAATAAGAGATATAAAAAAGACCCAGTATTCAAAAAACAATTGTTTACCATGATAGGAGGTTTGACAGAGACAATACAGGAAATCTTGCCACGGTGGATATGTTGGACCTTGAGGAAGCTGCGGCTGAGTTCAGAGAAAGAATCCATAGTGTCATACTGAGGAGGAAAGTTAAGGTTGAAGAGCCCCATGCTTTTGAGGAATCCATTGACCTTAGAAATAGATTCTGCAGACAATTTTTCGGAGATGACAGTGTTTTTGTTCTCCATAAGAGTTGGGGCTGAGCGATTTTCACCCATCTCTTTTGTTTAATTTCTAGTACTACTATCTGGGTAGAGTAATCTTACGTCGTCCAATAAATACAGTGCTTGGTCTAATTTGGTCGCTTATAACCACGGATATCAATAGGCCAGAATTAGTTTTTGTGATTAATTATTTTAGAATAAGTTATTTTATAATGTTTCTCTAACTTATTTAATAATTTTTGGTACAAGTGATAGCGCATATTACCCTTATATATAAGCCAACAAGAAGAGTACCAACACAGCTCTACAAAGTTGTACCAATAGTATAAAAAATTGGACTAGCCCTATTCACTATTGAATAAACACGTGTGCTACACGTGTTACTCCACTAATTTCCACTACCTTCCAAACCCATTTCCTACTTCTTCCAATGCTAACAATGGAAGAGAAACTAATGTTTCGCCTTCCACGGCTCTGAGCAAAATAGAAGAAAAAGGTTGGTGCTCAAGATTTAATCGATCAATAACAACTCCAGCATTCATCTTTACTTGGTAGTCACAGGTTTGATATTTTATTTTTCTTTGCCTCTTTGGCGTCTAAAATTTTCTCCAATAAGTCATGTGCATGTGCTAATTTTGATGTCATGCTGCTGGATCTGAGTAAATACAACTATAATGAGTAGAATTTTCAAAAGAAAATGTTAGGATAGAAATTTTCAGATTTGTTGATTTTAATAAAGGGGAACCGTTTCTGCAAATATCTCATTCAATTAATCTGCCGAATCATGAATCAAAGGGAGATGAGCTACTTTCTTGGAAAAAATTCTTTTTGTCGTAAAACTAGCAGGTTCTTAACAGTATTGATTCTCAAAAAAAAAAAATTGCAAGATCTTAAGATTGCAATTTTATAAGCCTCCCTTTTAAGTTTACCATAGGAAAATAACTCAACTTAATCTCATTTGGGGCTTTCTAGATGTAAAATCTTAAATTAGTTTTACATTACTTATTTGATTTTTATTTTTACTGCTAATAAAAGATCAATATAGAAAATATGCAAAAATTAGTCAAAAACACAATTTATGTGATACAGCTCAATGAAATAACTTCAATTAGGACACTAAATCAAGAGGGAAAAGATCCATAATAAATCAAGTCCGACTTTTGTGTTTTCACCAAGCTATTAAGGATCTAACTTTCGAAAACTAACGATTATATTATTTTTACTTCTCAAAAAATAGAATGGTTTAAGGATGTTATTTTGTTTTCTGTTTGTACTAGCATGTTATTCACCTTCAAGTTTAGAGGTCGTCTTTCCTGTGTGCATCACTTATTCAATGGAATTTCCTTCGAACTTTTAAGGAATATAATAGTCCATTGATTATGGACAATACTTAAAAGAGATTGAAATGGTAATTATAAAGTTCTATGTAAACAAAGTTCAACCACGACACAGCTCATTTACTTTGTTCTTTTTTTAATTTATTTGTATCATTTTAGGAGTTTGACTAAATAAGAGAAGTACCCATAACATAGCTTCAGAATCGGAAGCTAACCCAACCTTATTACTTGCTTATAAGGTTGATATAAAGCTTAAATTAAGGGTAACAAAGGTGGTAGCTGCTAACTTACTACATAGTTACGATGGTAGACTCATGAGCCTATCAATAATGTTTAATGAAGTTAACTGGTAATTGATTTGTAACTAATACATCATTAATACGAGTACATATTGAGGAATATGTTGTTGTAAAGCTACTATTGATTGTATGAAATAGTTTTAAAAACATACTGCTTTAATTTTTATTTGGTTAATAAGTTTATTCTTGGATTATCTAGGGAATGTCAAGAATTTGAGTAGAGAGGGCCATGACTTCTGAAGTTGCAATGTCTAGATATACACTCTCAAAGTTGGAATGCTTACTTATTAGTCGAGGATAAATTTCAGTGTTTGTTTATATATTATGCTTTATTATCATTGTTGTTACTCTTTAAACTATTATAGTTCATACTGAAGTAAGTACACAATGTAGAGAATAGGAAGGAAGTTAATTGCTAGGAGTGCAATGGGATGATGGGAGGAATGAAAGAGACTGAAGAAATGTTAGATTTTGCACCAAAGCATTACATACGTAGCAATGGACTACATGAATACAATATTGGAACGCCTTCTGAAATCCAATGTGAAGTATAGTTTTGTGCGAGACATGGGCAAAAAAATGAACTCTATTTCATCTCAAAACTATTTTCGATTCTTGTGCATGGCAGAAGTAAGGCTTAATTTCACTATTGAATAAACACGTGTGCTACACGTGTCCTTCTACATCTTTACTTTTCAATTATTTTCCTATGGTTCTTTCACCAATCTATCACTATGTTTTCCCCCATATAGAAACTTAGAATGGAAAAGAGAGCCAACGCAAAGTCACCATACTCTCTCCTTTCAATAGCCTAAAATTTGACTCTTAAACTTCTTCTGACTGAGTTCTTTCTACCTTCTTCTTCCTCTGCTCGATTG